CCCCCCCCCTTTCACTCTAGGAAAGGAGCGAATTTACTCCATCACCAAGAAGTAAAATTGCTCTCCTCCTCTGTGAGTAAAAACGCTCCCTTCAGAAAGTGATAGGGATGTCATGCAAATCAGAAAATTCTCACATATATTTTTTGTCGCTTTCGTTCTCGCATAGGCGTTGACCTACCTCTGACTGTACTGATTACAGTACACGTCAGAGGTTGGATCCCCTCTTATAGGCTCTGTGGAGTATCCGGGATATCAGTCCCTTATTACCTCATTTCATTGAGGTCTGATTGAATGAGTTCGAAATCTGCGTGGAGTCTCTGCTCTGGAGTCGCCATTAACTACCCTGTGGATGGCCGCCTCGTGTTCTTCCAATGTTTTTTAATCTGCGATCATATTTCGCTTCCAAATAGCCCCGCAAAAAATGTCAGAGTTACTATTTGAAAAATCACACCTTCAGGGGAGGAAGAAATGACTTAATTAATCAATGACTTTTCGTAAACCTTGTTCAATACAGGTACAGGGTTCAGCGAGTAGTCAACATTGTATGGTTTCTTTCTCCCCCCCTGCTCGAATGCGACAATGTTCTATTGATGAGCACGACACCGATGAGGAATGGATGAAACAATGTATTAATCAGATTTTATTTGCCTCTCATGCCACCGAGGGTGCATTCCAAAACAGCGTCGCCAAAGTCGTTGCCCCATTCACCATTCTCATTAAACCGCCAGTAGCCTGGGTAGACGAGGGCATTGTTGCATGTATCGACAGTCGCTCCGAAAGTTTCGTAAGCTACGCTGCTGTTGGGATTACTGTGCACTCCAAATCCGGATCCAAAGATCCTCTCTTCGAGGGCTGAAAGGAAGAAGGGATGAAGAAAATTACATTACACGTTTTCCTTGACGTTATCAGAACGGAGGCCTGTAGAAATATTCAGACGCCAATATTCCTTCAATATTTGAGCTACCTGCCATTACGGGTTACTGTTACATTGCGGGACACTGTTACATCTTACTGTAACATTTGCACAGAAAAATTCTATGTTGGGGATCACCTTTGCTCAGGACTCACCATACCCTAATGAAAGCGGAGAGTCTACTTCTCCTTCAGGTGAAGAAAAAAATATTGGTTACTCACTGCCGACACCAAGAACTGTAACATCTTGGAAGTATGCGCCCGCCGTGACACTGCTGAGGTCGAGTTGGCCTGTTGGGTCCACGCATTCACTCAAGTCGATCTGGGCCGACAGCTTCGATCCACTCAATTGGGCATCCAATACCGATTCGTAACCCGTCAGCTCCACTCTAAAATGATGGATGCGGTCATCCATTGTGCACGCAAGTCGTCTTCCTCATATCACAAGGATTTCCCAGATTCACCGATTAAAGGAAGGTGCTGAGAAGATAACCCCTTCACCAATGACACACGCAAACTCAGTGACATCTGGAACGTCACCCGGATCGACAGGGTTGAACGCGGTGGTCAAAACCTCTAATATGCCGTCCTCGCCCAAGATGAACACTTGGACGACAATATCCCCAGCAACTGTGAAAGATAAGAAGTAAGGTGCAGGAAAGGCGAAAATGAAAACAAAGCAATAAAATGAACTCGTGGAGAGAATAGAATTCTAATCACAGTCAGCGATGGATTGTGAGAAGTGGATTCCTGGCATATCTCCACCCTCTTCATCAACCCAAGCGAGCACCTTGGCTCCCGCAGCCTGAACACGGAAAGGGAATATTCAAATCTCTGGTTTTGAGAAGGATTTCATTGCTTAGCGAATAGGGCGATGTCACAATAATTCTTTGAAGTATGGTATGATCTAAAGAAATTAGTGCGAACTGCGCATTAATTGTGGGAAAGAGAGATTCTGCACGGATTTTTCGGCATCATGCGCAAGCGACGCTTCAATTTTACTTTTTGGAGATGCGTTGCAATTTACATTAATTTTCTTTCATATGTGAAAAGCTTTCTTTGTATCGTTTAAAGCGCTAGCGATATTCCCAAATCTGAGGCCGGTCGAGTGCAAAGCCTAACGTTTACCGGGGTGAAGTTCACCATATATTGCATTCTATGACACATCCCCATGCAGAACTCATTTGAAACAAACTCCAAAATTGCATTTCGTGAGTGGGAAAAGTGTGAATCGCATTTGCGCTTTGAAAGGAATTGCCTCTGGCGACTGCTTAGGAGAGGAGAAAAACCTCGACCTTTCAAGATAAGTGTAGCGCATTTAAAGACATCTTCCCTTGCAATCATCGTCCTCTGATAAATAGGCAAAGGAATAATGTTGAATAATAGTGTCCAGCGCCAATAATAGCGTCTCCCCTCGTTAAGGCTGAGGGACAAGCGAAGCCATTCCAATACGACCGTCTCTCCTCCAGCCCCGTCGACATCCGGAGCAGCCGTCGCAAAGATCCAGCCATCATCAGGAATGAAGTGACATCGCGCGAAAATTCGAACCTGAGAGGACGTAGTACTGGATGTAAGTTGGTCCTCCCTTGTCGAGTATCATCTCGGGCGGCAGGGGATTTCCACAGTTGGTGCCTATTCCAGTGGTCGTCAATTGATGTCCTTCCATCAAAGACTTCGGCAGGTCGTTGTAAGATGTCACCGATGTAATGAAGGCGAGAGAAGCTCAACCGCTGCTACGATATGAGGCCGGAATAAATTCGTAGGATTCAAAAGTGAGCAAATGAATTTTCGAGAGCAAGTTCATTTCTCCGCTTAAAATGAACTCTGCTTCCACATAATCACTCCATGTATGAGTGAATATCTGATGCAAGCGGTTGATTCGTATTTCTTATATTTACTTTTTTACATATACCTTTCCATTAGTTAAATATCAGAACCGCATGGCAGTCTCCCTCAGACTGAATTCTCCCTATTGGAGTTGATAGTACAGTATAGATAGTACTCAGTATTACAAATTCACTTCAGTCGGAAAGGGAGAGGGGAACAAATAAAAGAAGCTAGTAACCCATCTCGACAAACTAGCTCCCGAGTTCGCCATCAAAAGGAACTCCGGCTGATGGCTGCCTTTTCTCGAAGAAGGTGGCTCCGGTGCCAAGCGTGCAAAGCGCATAAAAGCTGGCCTGTATGAGGCCGGTTTCTGTTGCCACCTGGTAGGAAACGAACCCGGCGTTTCCATCCGCATCCAGGAACGAGTAGGCCAAGACGAACGCTCCATCGGATGATGTCGAGGCATACAGACTGAGTGATTTCCTCCATTAAGAAGTGCAGTCGGGTGAAAAGATGAAGTTCAACTTACGGGCCATGAAGATCTGCATTCCGGTGATGGTTGGAACTTGTAGCTCCACTTCGAAGTATGTCCACAGATCATAATTCTTAGACGCCAACTGCCCGGCACAGCAATATCAGAATCAAATTGAAAATGTGGAAATTTTAATCCTGAAGAAGGCATGAATATTCAGGTGGGAAATTCAATCGCCCGAACTCGAAGAATGAGAACGGTGACAGTTTTAGAAGTTTCATACTTTCTAAATGAAGAAATTAGCTCCCGGCAGTGAGTTTCATTGGGATCCTGCTATGCGAAGAGGCCTTCTGGAAATTCAGCTTTTGATTCTAAAGTCTAAAAGAATGGATCTATCGATGAAAGATTTTATGGATTATTCAAATATTTCTAGCTCTCTCCGAACGTTCCGAAGAGACGGATTTATATAAGTAGGTCATTTCCTAGACCGGCTCTGTTACAGTTTCACCCGTTAACGGGAGAATCGAAACGCCCAGCCGGTATGAAAGGATAGACGAGTCGAGACACAGGATCGTTGCCAAGCACCAGGTTGGGCAGTCATGCACTTTCGTGTCTCGAAAAGAAGAATATTCCACCTACTTCAAGTCTATGTTGGCTATGTATTTGAAGAAAGCAATGGCCGTCGACATCCTTGATTTGTTTTTGTTTTTTTTTATGTTTAAAAGAAACAAAAAGGATCTGTACCTGCGTTTGAATACGTGATCAATCCATCCTTGTATTCGACTTCTGTAGGCTTCCTACCTTCTACGAATGCTTGATCGGTTCTCTTAAAACTTATCTTGTGCGATTTCTCATCCCACGTTTTTCCGGACCCTCTTGTAAATCCTTTGTTGTTGCAACCCATCATTTTCCTTGCAAAAGGCAAAAACCATTTCCTTCATACTTAATTCTTGGCCTCAACGTTCTCCAATCCACTGTAGTCGACTACAATGGATACGTTGGATATCGCCCAGGCGCGCGCCTTTCCGGTTAGGATGATTCCTCCGTAGGAAAGCAAGGGCCCCATGTTAAAGGTGGTACGAATTCACTTACAAAACACTGTATCATGCACACAGTTCCGATCGTGTTCAAGCGGCAAAGGCAGTTGGGGAGTTGAGAGCTGCCGCTCAAAATTCTCAGGAACCAACACGTACCCGTGTGCGAGCTGCAACTGCTCCCAGCCCTTGAAATGCTCTCACGATGAGGAGAGTGCGACGATCGGTGTTTGCGAAGAACGCGGTACGACAAAAAGTGCGTGCGACGTTCTGTCCACGACGAACTGTCCACGATCGTATTGGCCGCGACGAAATTTGTCGCGATTGGTCAAAATTGGTCACGAGAATCTCCCATAAAAGGCAATGCAACTATTTTAGAGCATGAGGGGATTTATGGGTCTAGTTTGTCACGGTAAGAGAGTAAAAGCGACCACAAGAGAGGGGATATTGACCCTTGACCTCTACTTACAGCCCCGCGGGGAGATGTCGCTAGTGAACCCCAGTGTTTGTGGATATTGGATGTACAGAGAATTAAATTCTAAACATCTATCACAGAGTAAAATTAAACATAGTAGCCCTTTAATAAGCCTAAGCCATAAGAGAGCCAAATAGTGTCCATATTCCAGTTGCGCGCTTGGAAGGGTCTCAGGGCATCACAAAGTACGACGCTATCCTAGGTTGAATTTCAGAATCCATAAAAGGAAGCGCCATGATTGTTAATGTTAAGAGGTATTCTCAAATAGGGCATTTGGCATAAAACGCTATGGCGTCTCGAGAGAGAGAAAGCGGAGAGAGGATTAGCCGTCCGCGATGCGACGTCTAAAAGATGAAGAAAGTGAGGAAAGGGCAGAAGTTCGACGAGAAACAGATTCAGCTCCCAAGGAGGCCCCAGGAGGAGAGATGCCCCCCAGGCGACTCAAGTCAGATGGGAAGACTATAGAGCTCGCATGAAGGCGTTTGCACAGGAAGAAGCGCTCGAGGCTGCTTTAGCTAGGAGGCATCAGGATGCCATAAATATATAAGAGGTGGGCACGACAAAAGGGCACAGCAAGTACCTCCTTAAAAATGTCATCCTTATTGGTCAGTTTTTCTTCCTTTGGCGGCTGCGATGGATTCGTTCAAATTTCATATCTGCATTACGTGTCGCGATATTAATCTTGCTGATGGATGGATCAGCTTTGCAAAAATTATCACCATTTACGAAGGTTCCAATAAAACTTTGTCAAAACTTTTAGGGCCGAAAATCATACGATTCCGCTTGCAGTACAGGATGAACTGACGAATTTGACACTAATTGAAGAATTTCTTATTTCAAAAATTACATTCCAAAGGATCTGACGGAGGAAACGCGTTTCGGGGTGAACGAGGTAGAAAATAGGAATATAACCATGGAACTGCTCATAAGGAAGAACGATTTACTAATCAACCTTCATACCCGCATTATGTTTCAAACGTGGCGCGCCAACGTCGACCTGCAACTCCCTGTTGACCGAGACAAATTTGTGGAATATACTAGCCTCCAAGAGAAACCTTAGAAAGTCATTTATGGCTCGCCCGCGTTTTAGGAATTATGATTGCAGTATATCTGGCCATTCCTTAACAAGTCTAAAACGCCTGTACTTGTCAACCTGTGCACATGCCACGTCAGGAATTTGCCTATTTACGTTTTCTCCATGCCACAAGTAAAGTCCAGATTTCCGTCGATAAACGTTAGGTTAATTCTACTGCCTTCATACCGCCTTCGAAAACCATCAGTGACAAGCCAAGGCTGACGCTGCAACAAAGGTATGTGGAGAATTAAATGTTCAAAGAAGGTGTAACGCAACAGGGGTTACTCCCTTTTGGACCTTCTTGGCACAAACTGGCAGAACACCTGACCTTGATGACTTAGCGACACTAAGCGTCAAGTCCTCGATTTTCGGTGCCACATCCATTCTTCTCTTTTCGGGAACTTTGGTCAGCTTACTTCCGTGTCGGACACACCGCTCAACGTTGCTGGTGAGAATGATTTCCTTTCCGACGGACAAAGAGGCGAACATCTACCTTTGCCTTTCAAAAGGCGTTTGTGCTTGACGAAGTCATGAGACAAAGAGAAGGCGACCAGGAAAGGTTCAGAGATTGTCTCACGCTGATTCGAAATGGAGCATCGAGAGAGAACTACGAATTACTCTGCACACAAGTCAGAGGATGAAGAACTTTTCTCAAATGCGTTGACACGATAGAAGAAAAGGTTTTTGAAAGCAAAATCAACGCGTCTCGCCACCAACAGGGAACCCGTTGCTACCCGAGTGGTACTTTACTGTGCTTTTCGAAAGCCTCTTAAAGATGTTGTTCGATGTGCGTGTTTAGGTTAATATTTGTTCATTGCAGTGTCGTGCTTCGATGCAGACTTGATCAGTCCATAGAACGACGCATTGCATCGTTTCGATTGTGGAGATTTCAATGAACTTTTTTTTGGCATCAGGGGCACCACGATCCATTGCCGAGCTGAGGCGCCACTTGAAATGACAGGTCAAATGATCTTTGATATAAGACATTGGCGCGCAAGTGTCGCAAGTGTTTTGGATCTGGGATTTTACTAAATTATTTTTATCCAGCTATGTTGGTACCACGCCTCATTCGCATGATCAGGTTCTAAGATTATTTACAGGTCATGTGACGCTTGGGGAATTTTTTTTAATGTGACAGCGATCGACTCTGAAGATCATGGTGACTCGTTCCAAGACAACAGAGGGATTCGTTTCTTCCTGTTTACAGCAGGTTTACTGCCACTAGTTTCACTGACCATGTACTTTTTCTTTCAAATAATTCCACAAAAATAAACTAAATGGGGTGAACTAAGGAATAGATACCGGCCATTCGATGGCTCCCTCCCTAATCACCTATTTGATTGTACCAACAGAGAACCTTGGAATGTGACATTCTCCACATATATAATCAATTGTTTACCTCATCAAAGAATGTAAGAGTAGTCTTTACAAAAAAATCAAACATGTAAAGAAGAAAAATAAGTTATCACGGACCTTTGAAAAGCCTAGATTAGCATGGATTTAGGGCAGTGTCTAGCATATAGTCAAGGCCATAAAGCTTCCATTTTCATCCAGCTCGGATGCAGTAATGTTATACTCAAAGGCTCGAAGCTTTTGTGATGGATGGATGCAGTAATCAATTAATCAGATTTTATTTGCCTTTCATGCCTCCCCGAAGATCTTAAGACCTTCACCGAGGGTGCATTCCAAAACAGCGTCGCCAAAGTCGTTGCCCCATTCACCATTCTCATTAAGCCGCCAGTAGCCTGGGTAGACGAGGACATTGTTGCTTGTATCAATAGTCGCTCCGAAGGTTTCGTAAGCCGCCACACTGATGGGATCAGTGTGTAAACCGAATGCGGATCCAAAGATCCTCTCTTCCGGGACTGAAAATAAGAAATGATGAAGGAAATTACATTTATATTTTCCTTGACGTATCAATGCCGAGGCCTGTCGAAATATTCAGATCTAAATAAATTTTCTGTAATACCTGTGATGCATGCCTTCATGGGTCTTTGATAGATGAATATATTGGGAGAGTTCAACTGCAAGTTTCAGTCGAACCGTTTTTAACTCCAATATGAATCATTTAAAAGAAAATGCCGTATTGAGAGATTCACCACGCTGATAAGGAACCTAAGAGGATCATCAATGTGAATGTTAATAATCACCTATAGCTTAGAACCCACCATACCATAAAGAAAACTGAGCGCTACTTTTTTTCATATGTATTAGCACAATTATAGTACTGGAAAACGGATGGAATACGGAAGAAAGTAGAGGAAACTCACTGCCAATGCCAAGTACTGTAACATCTTGGAAGTATGCGCCCGCCGTGAGACCGGTGAGGTCGAGTTCGCCTGTCGGGTCCACGCATTGACTGAAGACGATCTCGGCCGACAGCTTCGATCCACTCAGTTGGCCATCCACCACCGATGCGTAGCTCGTCAACTCCACGCTGCAATTACGGTATGCGGCCATGCACTGCAGCACACGTCATCATCCTCAGATGACGAGACTTTGCAAGACTCACCGATTATAGGCAGGAGCAGTGAAGGTGACCCCTACACCGATGTCACACGCAAACGCGTCTACATCTGGGACGTCTCCTGGATCGACTGGATTGAACGCAGTGGCCACAATCTGCAGCGTACCGTCCTCGCCCAAGAGGAACTCTTGTATGACTACATCCCCAGCGACTATGAAAAATGTGGTCGAGGAGTGAGGAGAAAAGGCGAAAGTAACAAAAGAAGTTGTACTTATGTCATGAAAAGAATTTCACTCACGGTTAGCAATGGATTGTGAGAAGTGAATTCCAGGCATATCTCCATCCTCGTCATCAACCCAAGCCAGCACCTTGGCTCCAGCAGCCTGAACATGGAAAGGGAATATTCCAATCTCAGGGTTCATGAAGGATTTTATTGTACAGTATCTAGGGCACTGTGGCAATCAATCATTACCTGAAATATGGAATCATATGAAGAAATGTCCGCGAATAGAGCATTTAAGCGGGCAAGAGAGTCTACAAAAGTTTCTCGGTGTGATGAACATCTAATTATTTTTTTTTACATTCTGGAGGCTCCAAGAGTAATCTAGTACCCTATCTGGAACAAATATTGCATTTTTAAGTATTAGGCTTAATTAAATGCATTCTGATTTCCACTGCGGAAATATTTGGTAAATGTAGGCAACGTATCAAGTCGTTGTTCCCTGATGATAGGAAGATATGTCAGACAGGACTCGAAGACAGATTCAACTAGGGTGGAGTAATAAGTGCCCTCAGGCGAACTTATAAAGAATGCTTCAACGGGGAATTACCAGGACTCCTTCTGGAATTGTGCCGGTGCACGAGGTGACATCCACCGTGGCCTGAAGATCCTTCCCCTCCATGAAGGCAGCCTCCACTTCAGCGTAAGATCCAAACGTTTCGATTGCGTCACCTACAAAATGCAAAACCGAAGAATGATTCATCATCCATCATTGAGCATTAGGCATGCATTGGGACAAAAATGACTGAATCGTATTTGAACGCCCTCCTCCTCAACCGAAGCAAACAGGTAAAATAGTGAGCCTTGCTCTCCTTCTATCTCGGTTAACGGATACTAGCTCGGACATTTCCATTTCCTCCTCCTGTGGCCGCTAGTGATAGGGCAGGCCTTCCGTGTGACAGACCGGTAATTAATGAATGTCTTAGCTTTAACAGTACTAGAGATGTTGAGTTGTCCCTCACTACCGCAATGATTTCTGTGATTTCCCTTTTTCGTGTAAGGGGACTGCATTTACAGCAGGGCTTCATAGAAATTGGCAAGACTACCACTAATCCCATTTTCGTCGTACACAGAGAGACTCAGAGCCACAGAGAATTATCAGTCCAAAAACTACCCTCATTGCCTTGTTACATTACCTTTCGAGGCTGCCGGGGTAGTATGCCACGCAAAGATAGCATAGAGAAATAGTTACTTAACCCTGCCCCCCTCTCACGAGGGTCTCCAGATGCCATGGGAAAAGAGATAATCAAGAATTAAATTGCCATTAAGATCGACGAGTCAAACTATGAATCCAAGGTGATTTATTAAAGAAGGAAGAAGAGTGACAGGAGACGTTAGACTCTAAGAGTTGAAGGGTCCTCGTCAGAGGCACGGTTAAAACCTTCAGTGTATGTGGTTACTTTTTGAAAATCCATCATGGACGATGGCGAATGAGAAGCAATAGAAAGAATACAGAAGACAAACTGTGGATTACTCTACTCACAGCTTAACTAGAACTCACCACCGTCACTGATATACGCACGATTGACTGCGAAATGTTCAAATGTATGTTACTGAAATCAGGCAGTGGAAAGTATGTATGCCTGGGGTAAGTGGGACACCATTTTTTTTTAATAGTAATAATTTCATTTGTTATAGGTGCCACAACTATGAATGAGATTGAACAAATAAAGTCACCATCCACTTCACAATCTTACTGCTAAATAAAAACATTTAAGATTTATAATATCAGACATTTATAAAATTGGTCAGGGTTCCCACTTGCCCCAATACTTGGGGGCAAGTTGGTCCTCCCTCATAAATACTTACATAGACGTGACTTACTTGAACTTTAAGGTGATGAAAGCATATCGATAGGTCTTGAGTGCTTCATATAAATATTTGTTTTTCTCTAAAAGTTATTTGTAAAAGGGCAGAAGTTGATGTGTGCAACCGGTCAACGATTTGCAGGTATTTGATAACAGAGCAACCTTTGGAATCTTTCCCATTCCATGACATTATCCATGCCCCAATCACATCAGCGTCATCAAGACGTGCCAGAAGGTATTTTCTTTTCCAAATGTAAAAGAAAATGTCGGAAACATCCACAGGCAATGTCAAGTATATGAAAACATTATTCAACAACAAACTCTGGAATAGGTTTCCTCCGATTGCAGATTCTTATCTTTGAATGCCCATCTCTTAAATCGACATGCGATATAAACAGCATCGGCTCTTTTATCCTTCACAATTTATGAGTAAAATGCAGATGGTTTCCAGGACAGGGAAGGATGCATATTGCGGAGTGATACACAAAGTCGCAAAGTAATGGTAGCGTACCTGAGGCATAATATATGTTGACGTTTTCCCCGAGGTTGCACTGGAATCCTTCCGGATAAGGATATTCATCCACCCAAGTCAGCGTATTGAAGGCATTGGCAGTGATAAATGTGGATCCACTCTGAGAAACGATGACCCTGGTCAACAAGTAAACCGTCTCACCCTCATTTTCGCTGAGGGACAAGGTGGGCCATTCCAATATGAGCACCTCCCCTCCAGACCCGTCTACAGTCGAAGCAGCCGTAACAATCCTTCAGCCATCATGCTGAATGACGTGGGTATATGACAACAATATGACAACATGAACCTGAGACGACGTAGTACTGATAGTAATTTGATCCACCCTCAGCGGTTACGACTTCGGGTGGCAGAGAATGTTCACAGTCAGTTGCTACTGCAGTGATCATCAATTGACGTCCCTCCGTCAATGCCGTCATCAGATCGTCGTACGATGTCACTGGTGTACTTAAAAAGGGAAAAGAGACTTTCAATCTCTCCTATGAAGAGATTTTCTTAATAAATTAATGGGATTCGAGATTGGGATAAATGCTTAACCTAGACCAAGCTCATCTCTCCAAATTAAATATTATTCCTCATAATTACTTTTATTTACGATTGAAACTCTTTGGCTGAAAAAATAGGAAGGAGGTAAATTTTTTTTAAGTGTGGGCAAAACATGAAACAATCTACTTTCCCAAACTCTCACAAAATCCAATAACAGCTTCGAAGAAAGTTGATGTCTGTAAGAGGTGTATTCTCATGATCGTACTCCCTATATTTTCTTTTTCTTACATATGCCTTCACAATCAGAACCACGCGGTTACCTTCCTAAAGTGGAATTTTCCCAATTGATGTTGACTGCACCAAATATTGCGGATTCGTTTGAATCAGAAAGTGGGAGTGGAGTAAATACAAGTAGTTGATTACCCATCTCGACAAAACAACTCCCATGTTTGACAAGCAAAGTAACTCACTCTGGTTGATGGCTGCCCTCGACAAAGGTGGCTCCTGTGCCAAGTGTACAAAACGCATAAAAGTTGGCCTGTATGAGGCCGGTTACTGTTTCCACCTGGTAGGCATCGAACCCGGCGTTTCCATCCGCATCCACGAACGAGAAGGCCAAAATGAACGCTCCATCAGCTAATATATCGAAGCATCCCAGCTGCGTGATTTCCTCCATAGAGAAGTGCAGTCAAGTGACAATACGATCTTCAACTTACGGGTCATGAAGCTCTGGATTGCTGAGACTGAACGAACCACCAGATCTACTTCCGTGTATTGCCACATGTCGAAATGCAAAGACGCCAACTGCCCCCAAAAATAAATATCAGAATGAATTATATTTTTTTCAGCCTAGCAATTATGACTAAGTGAAGCAATACCAGGGCAAAGTAAAAAAGCCCTACATTTACTCCTAAAGAAGTCGTGACAATTCAGGTGATAAATTCGATTGCCTCAGCTCGAAGAACGAGAGTGGGATTGATTTAAAGCATTTTAAGAATCAAAAGGATGAAAACAGCATATAGAGTAAAAGAAGTTACTTTTCGATGCCAATTCTGATTGAAAACACCCATGGGCAATAGGCAATTCCCTGCATCTGAACTCAGAAACACTGCAGCAAGACCAAAATAGGAAATCCAAATTATTGCAAATAGCTTGCAGAAAAGGGGTAACGTTTAAGGAAGCTAAAAAGAGAAATACAGCGAACGATCCCATTCTATCAAAATTGTCAGGCAACCTACTTCATCACGGGGATGAGTCCGCAAGTCTGACTGAACAAACCCAATCCAGAATTGTTTCTCCTGTCAGGTCCTGCTATGGCTGCATATCTAAGTGGTAGTCTATACCAAATATCCTGATGCATGTATCCAATCCAGGCTTAAGTATATGTTTCAGTACAACAGTTTGACGATTAATTATCGATTCCTGATCTTTGTACGAAAATAGCCCATCATATGTCTCTTTGAAAGTCTCATATTTATTAATTTTGTTAAATTTCGTAATCATTTTTCATCTCTTGGGAACGTTCTTAGGAGACCGATTTCTACATGCGGGTCACTTGCTAGAGAGTCTATTACTGTTTTATATCTGAACGTAAGGAATGTTAATGTTAGTATTATGATTGGAAATGTCCTCGCAAAAACAAAAGCAAATATCCCTCTTTCTGAGAGATGTTCATTTCCAAATAGCAGAAGAACCAGGTATTGTTTCTAATTCATCCCGTATCCGACAAGGCAATTAGCGTGGAAATATTATCACTTTGCGAAATGAATCTCAGATTCTACAATATCGGGAACTCATGACTGTTAAAATATAGGGGCTAAGTTAGAGTCCTCTACGTTTCAGTTCGAAAAGGAAATGCGTCTTTCCGGTGTCGACATAAGAAGGTCCACATTTTCAGGAGGATATATACTGTACATTATACTGTACATTAGTACGACTTTTCCGACTCGAAAGAGAAGATCGTTCTCTCAAAGGTCCAATGTTGGATTCAGGATTCTTCGGCAAAAGGAAGGCAAATGAAATTGCGCCAGTAGTTAGGAACTAGCACTTCCTATATGAGAAATGAATTTTTTTTAGAGTATGATGGAAAATTAGGGTTTATACGTCCGTGTGAAAATTTTCTGAAATCGAAACGGAAAATGTAGTGAATTGTAATAGTGTGCAGGACAAGTTTCGGGAAGGGTGTTCCATGGTAAGGGAGGCTGTAGAGGTAAAAAATCATGGGTCCTCCTTCCCCATACCATCCATAATTACTCCACAAGTCAGGACAAAGTCTTAATGCGTTACATGGCATAAGGGCACTGGTGCAACTAGTGTTTCAATTCCAAGGACACTTACCCAAAATAAATTAACACAAGACCGGAGGGCTCGTTAGTTCCAATGCTATTGGTATGGCAGCAGATAACGATAGTTTACATTGGAGATTATGTTGACTCATTCCGAGTCCACTGTAATGAAGCCAATTTGCAATTCCTGGCAGAATTGAAGTTTCACTTTTGCAATGCATCCTGACGGATTTCAAGTTGAAAACATTTGAGAAGTTTAAGCTAATGTTTCCAATATTTTCGTATGAAGCGCTTATTTCGTATGAAGCGGATTCCTGGATGTACCTTTCCTTCCAAATATTGATATCGTGTCGAGAAGAGATTCAAAGATATACGGTGTCATATATGACTCACGGTAGGTTCCTGAACGGAAGACTCTTCACACAAGCTGGAGTCAAAATTGCCAGTGATACTATGGCCAGCCCGCACCGCCGCGAGCACTTCATCGAAGGTGTCCAGCGATCCTCCTAAAACACACAGCTGCAAGTAACCGGTTACGTTGTCGGATTTGTATTTTACGAATGGTTAGTGCCCATCATATTTCTCTTGGTGACTGTAATCCCTCATGATCTCACTCTAACCGCCAACCTCCGTTATGAAGTACCATTCGGTACATATCAAATCCAACTCCTCAAATGTTTTTTTCCCAAGAGGGAATTAAAAGGAAGGATAATTTTTTTAAATTAAGGAATTTAAAAAAAAATGGAGAACCACGGAATGTAAACCGATTAATTCAAATTGTCACTAAAAACAAGTCCCTTAATTATGGCCATCCTATAAAGCCGTTTGGAGTAACTGAATTGATGAGATGAAAGAGTGCGACTCCAATAATGAATCAAAATCATGCCGGATTTCATCTCATGGTGCCTTTATTCTTTAATGACGACCACAATCCTTTCTTCCAATACGCAAGTATCATCAACTATCAACGTAGACATTCAGGAAATCAATAAATACCCCCTCTCAAAAAATTTTTTTTGATACGAGTACCTTGGGCCAAGATGGCCGGGAGGAAGGCGGCGAGGCAGAGCAGGAGTCGAAGCATAGCGACCTCAAGAATGACCTGGTTCACAGCAAACTGAATCGACGAGTCCTCGAGTTGGGTTTTTTTTATAGAGAACCAAGATGACGTTGGCACTGCCCCATCCCGAAATACTTCCACAAATGGTCATATTCCCACCAGAACCATGCAATGTTTTATGAGCTGAATGTAAAAATGTCTTTTCTTGGATTTTCATCAGATGTGTTGTGAGGGAAAAGGTGTTTTTTTTTTTACTGCAAAGCTCTGGCCCCCATTCCTCAGAATGAAATTAGAAGAGACCTGAACATCTGAAACTTCTCGAAATGTAAAATTTGAAACTTTCCCTCACACGGAAGGTAAACACTTAGATCGATTCATTTTAAAGCATTCCATTCCGAAGCACATCTTCCCGCGGTTGATACTTCTATTCATCCCGCACGCGAAGAATACATGCCATGCTGCGGTAGGAAAAGTGAAGAACTCAATCGTATGATTTAGGTATTCAAATCTGAAAATCTCATTTCATTTCCAGCAAGGGTAAGTTTCGTATTTTCTGAATTAGTGGAAGCAACGAGTGACGCCTGGCGAGAAACGATTTCGCCTTTCCCTGAATTGATTCGTCACTTCAGTGCCTCCTTCTTTTAGAACTGCGTGAGAGCCTTCTCACCTGAATATTGTTTTAATGGAATGTGCAGGGATTTTCTAAAGAAACAAGCCCCTTTCCTATTGAGGTGTTCAACTGGAACCATCTCTTAAATTGAGCGATTGAGGGAAAGGTTACCACAGGCTTCTGTTTCATGCGCTCCCGTACCGTTTCTGAATAAATCCTTGATCTGACAGTCCCATAGCGACCTTTAAAAATGCGACATATTGATTCATTTTTCTGTGCTTCTCCTCAATCCGCCATTCTTATCATAGGTGCTATGGGAAAATTTCAGATATTGCGGTCGGTTTGTCTCTTTCTTTTTTTCTTCTTCTTTTTCATTCCATCTGTCCGCAGTTCGCTTAGCAACCGAAGAACTACATTCGGTGCGCATGTGCAGCCTTCAATCCAGATCGAGGCGTCAGTCACCGACTGAAACTGCTAGTTTTCTTCCAGCCTCGCCGCTAACGAATCGATCAGAGGAAGCTAGCGTCTTCTCTCGATAGCGCAGACAATTTTGCGGGCAGAACTAGTAAAATGCCGCATCTGGCGTCCTACCTGATTTACTCTGCATCCGTCTCCACGCGACAAAGACACTTGAAAGATAGAGGGCTTCGAGTCTATCGCGTCTTCCAGGACTATTAACGAGATAAAGAAACTTTTATTTCTAAAAAAGTCACGACAGATGTTTTCCAAGGGACAGAGAATCCTCAGTGGCATGAAAGGCCGTGGAGAGGCAGATGCCTACCAAGGTCGGTATGCTATTTTGTTATTCTGTCGGCCCGCAATAGCTGTAGGGTGTCCCAGAATTGACTGAACATTGGAAGTTTCGTATCCAGGCAGCTCTGACCTAGGCCTCTGGTATCTTAGATTATAGCACGAGGTCTACGAGTCTGTGCCTCTCTAGGTCATAGGCTAGGTGGAAGGACCTGTTTCCAATCAATTCTGGGAAACCCTATATACCAATTCGTAGTTTGGATGATAGAATAAGCCTGTATTGCTGCTTCCTAAGAACCAATGAAACCTCAGTGAGCATATAATGGTTAATATTATGGCACTAGTGTTCAGGTGGCTCTAATTATTTAGCACAGTGTTCGCTGCACTTTGAAGTTTTGAAGATGATTCACCGAAATTGTTCACTCTCGCGTCGAAAGATTTTCAGGAGTCGATGCACATGACGCTCTCATTTAGTTGAGCATCTGCGCAAAGGGAAATTGGGTTCGATTGGCTCTGGTCGAAGAGGAACTTCAAAGGCTGTATCGCCCGATAACCTTTCCCGAAACCACCTTGCTGCATTTCCACCCGAAGTCATCCTTCAGCGTGCTGATGGATGACTGCGGGTGTTCTTCGTGTCTCCGGCCCCTTCAACGCGCTCGGAGCGAGACGGCTGGATCAACCATTCGAGGAGGCACCATCCGAAGAATTTGTTGGAAGAAGAGTTGGCTTCCTTTTTTTCAATTCTGGGCTGGACGCAAAGATACAAAAATTTGCGGATTCTTTCGAGAATATTGGATCTTCCATGGTTGTTGCTTCATGAAATCCTATTTTTCCTCATTTAGAAGTGGGATGATCATCGGGTCCTGTCAAAGATAGGATCATCCTTTTCCGTTATAGCGTTTAACGTAGGTTTAAGGCAACTTTTCCATCCGAAAGGCGGACAACTTTTTTCAGCGCATCGTCGCGAGGTTTCCTTCTTCCTTCGCTTTGCACCGCAGCAGGGTTGCGAGGCTCTATTTTTGTTTGGGTCGCGGATGATGCTGAAGCTTTGAGATTTGACTTAGGTGACAACTGAAATTAAAATAAGGCTGTTAGGGGACATCTTTCTTTTCTATCTTTTACAGGAGAACTTCGATATCTTGATCAAAAATTTATACAGTGTTAGGGGCAATATTTACAAAGTGGTACAATACTAATACGCACATTAGCCAAGGAGAAGGATATTCTTGGCATCTCGCACTTCGCCGGACTTGGATCGTGCTTGAAGGTCCGCATAGCTGGGAAGATTTTGCTACAGGTCCCCATTACATTGGCGACAACAAAAACCATAAATAATGATTTCCCTATCCCAATCTTTCCAGGAAGTTAACATTTTCGGAGTCACGACAGATTTATCATGATTGTTAAACGCCACGGGTGTGAATTTGCGAGTTCGGAATGTCCTAATACGTGACAAATGCAGTCACCTCCGGTTCTTATCTGGACAGAACATATACAAGCATAAATCTGATCTCACGAGAACGGCGACACGACCCCAAGTCCTCCATATCTCCATTGCATTGAAGGAGTGCAAGCTAGAAAAATTTTACATTTCGGCTTGAATATTTGAATCGAGTCAGGGAGTCTTTGGCGAAGGCCCGGAAATTCCCTCGGTCGAATGTGATGGACGTGGAAGGTAATCTCGTTTGAATTTATGCGGGGGGGACATAGGGAGATCCGCTGTAAACAGATAAACAAGTCTCATTCTTCCCAACACATGTTATGATTCTCACTTGGGGCAACAGAAACGGCTAAGGATAAAAATAGTCCCCTATCGAATGTGCCATTTTCCCCTCCAGAATTACGCAAGGAGCATCACGCGATTCTGAGGAGGAAAATAAGAAGGAAAAGGTGAATTGTGATAAAATCCAGGAGCATTATTNTCCAGGAGCATTATTATTACTGCAATAGCTATCGAGCATCTCACCACCTTCCTCTACGTTCTCCTGCAGCAGAATGCGATGATCGGCCTGAAAACTTGAACGTATCGAATAGGAGAGATCATACTGCTTCATGCGGAAACAATAATCGCGTAGGACTCTTACACCTGTGTCGTCGGGCTGTGTTGGAGTATCACTGACAAGGTTGGATATGGACGAGATCCTGCTTACAACCAAATAACATTTTGCCTGCAGACGATGACTATTTACACACGATGAACGAGCTCGTTTCTTCCAGCCGATCGGCGCCTTACCTTTGAACGACGAAAACTTTCAGGTCAAATGGTATTCGAATGATCCTTGCGTCATGCATCTTCGGTGCTGTTTTAACTGCACTGAAGAGTCTTTATGAAGAGTGTGAAGAGAATCCACGTCTTTTTCTTCCTGAAAGGCGTTGCGGTTTCTTCACTTGCAAAAAATCTGTACGACTAGCCAGTCTGACCAAAATGACGGAACTAGAAATGGCTTGACATTTGAGATCGAAGAGAAAAACTATTTGGGATTCGACGCACATAGAAAATACATCATATTCCGGAAATATATCACTACTCGTGTAAAACCCCGTGCATGCACTGGCTGAAATAAGTCAAATGAAAGCATTTCATGCATGCGTTTTTGCTTCTTCTTTGTCAGTTTAATTGTTTCTGGAGGCAGCGTTTTGTGCACGTCGTTCTGCTCCTTCATCGCCGACTGGGAATCCAGAACGTCTCACTTTTGCGCGTTCAGTAGATCGCGCCCCAGAATGGCACAAACTTCTCCCCTTTCTCGAGTCAATTTGAGAGCAATATAAATATTCAAAATAATAATATCGAGCACTAACCGAATGCTGCAGACTCATGCGAAGCACTGTCGTAAGCTGGCACCGGGATGAGTTTCAGCATTTGGCACAGCAACAACGTCCGTAGCCGACAATGCCTCGAACCGATGCCAATTATTGGTTGTGAGCATTCGCCCGGGAAGGCATTCGGTACAACTAGCTGGTACCCGTGAAACATTCACCTCTTCGTATTTAAGAATTTCTGTTTCAAAAAACTTAAATGTCCATGAAGTTCGGTCCAGCGATGGAGTTTTGGGTCCAATAGGACCACGATTCGAATCGGACCGGGTTCTGAAAAGTTCACCCGCGCAAGCCTCAGGCGGGCTGACAGGAAGACGTAACCAGTGAAATATTCACGTCTGATCGTGGCAATTGGAATTCATTCGAACAGCATCCAAATGAGGCATTTCGCAGGATTTTGGAACCGCCAAATTTGTGGTCATTGATAAAAAGATGGAGCACGAGATTCTTCCGTCATCGGAGGCCACCGATTGACTTTGAATCCAAAAAGATACCCCAACTCCTGTGCCTATAAATAAATTCTTTAGCGAGATCCCCCAGACGTAGTTGAGACTCGTCTCACTCGAATGCGGGGGATGATTTGGAGCTCAGCGGGGAATGGGGATCGGCTCTATCAGGCAGACCCGACCGACGGATCGGTTGACGATCGAGTTTCGTGTTGGGTGCAGGCGAATACGCTAGAATGCACTCGGGAGTCTTTGGGCGTCTCTTTTTTCCTAGCAGCTCTTCTAGCTCTGTTGAGGCCTCCAGCATCCCATGACGTCGTGTTAGGGCTGAGTTGCTCAGCGCTCTCATGGTTACTCACGATACTCCGCTGCCAGCTGCTTGCCCAAGAGTGGCGTCATTTAATGACGTGGTCGTGCCGAGCCTACGCGTCTTTTTCGCTAGCAGCTGGGGCAAAAGGAAAAAGAAAAAAGGGCGTGTGTGGAAAAAGGGCGTGTCTTTTTCTCGAGCCGTTTACAGCTGCTGGCAATAAGGACGCCTCGTTCTGTCAACGCTCGATGCGATCATGTCATTAAATGACGTCACTCATGGGCAAGGAACTACTAGTAGAACGTAGTGAACTATGAGAGCACCGAATAGGCCAACACCAATGTGACGTCATGGGACGTCGGGTGGAAGCCTTAGCAGAGCCGGTAGCTCAGAATAAAGACGAACCCAGAGACCCGCTGTTCCAAAGTTTAGAGGCCTAAGCGGGCTGCGGTCCGGCCCGATCAGACCTGCGGGTTGGATCCACTAAAATCTCGGTTCGGCGATCGAATTTCGGGTCGAGTAGTCGGTTAAGACCACGACTCGAATCGGGCCGATCGAGTCGGATTCGGAAGAGTCGACCTGTGCAGGCCTCCATGGACAGGCAGGAGTTCGTCGGCTATTATTATATAGATGCTTTTCTAGTCGCCGAAGTTAGGCACTTAAGCCCAAGAACGTCAAGACTTCATGGGTGTTTAATCCAATAAGTACAGTCTCCAAGTCATACGCTTTCGATTGACACAGATTGTATTCAAATAAGGCACACCAAAGGAAAGAATTCGGAATCAGATGGAGAGGGGGTCATGGTTTCTGTCGATCCCAATTTCCCATATACAGCACTTTCAATGAGCTCCGTCTTGTAGTATTCTAAAGAGACACAACTTTCGAATTTAAAACAGACACGCTTACGATCAATAATAGGGGGAGGGGGGTTCCATCATCCCCCCATCGCTTGTAGGCCTATTTTCAGCGAGTTAATCTCCTTAGCCTTAAGTTTGACACGTCGTTCCTATTTCGAACGCCTCAAATTAGAACACTTTAAACCCCATGGAATAGGGGATAATTTTGACCTCAGCCTAGTTGCATAACGGTTCGATAGGATCCATTAGAGCTGAGGATCGGGCGTGTGGCGAGGTTGACAATCGGTCGAGTGCGGGCCATGATGTGTGACCACTTTGCCCCGGGAAGGCGTTCGGTGCAGTGCTATTCTGATCGTCGCAAATGGGGGTAATCACTTGAAAATTGTGGGATTCTTGGACTTTTGATCCAAGAAGATTCTTTTCCAGGTCCTGAGCTTTCGATCGCACCTCCCTCATGAAAATCCTTTCATTCGTCTGAGAAGAATTTCCCGGAACGACAGACTGCCAGATTAGCCTCTTATGTACAGGTATATGGATGGGCGAGTCCTGAAACTAGGTTGATGTAATTGATGTCATAACCCTTACTACATCAATTTCTCTAATTTGATTTGCCATAACTTTTCAAGGGACAGTTGAATGCAGGTGATAGAGAGAGAAGTTCATGAGTCTAAGATGTTTCAGATGTCAAAATGGCGCTGCGTTTTGACGAAGGACGCTCCAGTCGACCGCAGAGCTTACTACTTACGAAGCACGACAATTTTCAGGTGTGAAAGAATCAAAACTTTTAGGCCCATGAGCTTCTCTGCCAAATTTCAGTTGCGTCAAGGAGACCTTGTAAAAGAAATGATCGAAAAAGTTGAATGGTGAATCTATATCAATGAGAGGCCACTACTCCTAGGTCAAAGTTTCAAGGTCGAAAGTGTACCTTGAAACTTTAACCATACGCTTCCTAAGGGTGGGGCAGTCAGGACGACGGAGTTTGGTTACCCTGTGACTGATGGAGCACATGAGTCACCAGAGTCACATTCCATCCTAAAAATCTGATTCTTTGTTTTTATGAAGGTCAAAAAGTCAACATTTTTAGAGGGATTTGCCCGGTCCTCCTCCAAAGATTGGATCCGGGCGAATGGAATGGAAAGCCGATGGAAACCTTGATATCTCGGGAAGCTCTGCGTCACATTTTCGCTGTCTTGCGACTAAATCTCGGCAAGCTACGACCGAAAGACTGTCGCAAATGTCGGAATCAGTGATTCAATTGGTAGCCTGTTGGGCTCTCGGGCCAGGGAGCAGGGGTTCGAAATGAGACCGAGTCGGACCTTTCATTCCGATAAAGGCACCTACGTCGGTAGGGCCCGTGAGTGACGTCATTTAATGACGTGATCGCATCGAGCGTTGACAGAACGAGGCGTCCTTATTGCCAGCAGCTGTAAACGGGTCGAGAAAAAGGGCGTGTCTTTTTCTCCAGCCGCTAGCAGCTTCTAGCGAAAAAGACGCGTCGGCTAGGCACGACCACGTCGTTGAATGACGTCACTCTTGGCCAAGCAGCTGGCAGCGGAGTATCGTGAACCATGAGAGCGCTGAGCAACTCAGCCCTAACACGACATCATGGGATGCTGGAGGCCTCAACAGAGCTAGAAGAGCTGCTAGGAAAAAAGAGACGCCCAAAGACTCCCGAGTGCATTCTAGCGTATTCGCCTGCACCCAACACGAAACTCGATCGTCAACCGATCCGTCGGTCGGGTCTGCCTGATAGAGCCGATCCCCATTCCCCGCTGAGCTCCAAATCATCCCCCGCATTCGAGTGAGACGAGTCTCAACTCCGTCTGGGGGATCTCGCTAAAGAATTTATTTATAGGCACAGGGGTTGGGGTTTCTTTTTGGATTCAAAGTCAATCGGTGGCCTCCGATGACGGAAGAATCTTATGCTCCATCTTTTTATCAATGACCCCAAATTTGGCGGTTCAAAAATCCTGCGAAATGCCTCATTTGGATGCTGTTCGAATGAATTCCAATTGCCACGATCAGACGTGAATATTTCACGGGTTACGTCTTCCTGTCAGCCCGCCTGAGGCTTGCGCGGGTGAACTTTTCAGAAACCGGTCCGATTCGAATCGTGGTCCTACTGGACCCAAAACTCCATCGCTGGACCGAACTTAATGGACATTTAAGTTTTTTGAAACAGAAATTCTTAAATACGAAGGCGTGAATGTTTCACGGGTACCAGCTAGTTGTACCGAATGCCTTCCCGGGCGAATGCTCACAACCAATAATTGGCATCGGTTTCAGGCATTGTCGGCTACGGACGTAGTTGCTGTGCCGAATGCTGATCCTCATCCCGGTGCCAGCTTACGACAGTGCTTCGCATAAGTCTGCAGCATTCGGTTAGTGCTCGATATTATTATTTTGAATATTTATATTGTTCTCAAATTGACTCGAGAAAGGGGAGAAGTTTGAGCCATTCTGGGGCGCGATCTACTGAACGCGCAAGAAAGTGAGACGTTCTGGATTCCCAGTCGGCGATGAAGGATCAGAACGACGTGCAGAAAATGCTGCCTCCAGAAACAATTAAACTGACAAAGAAGAAGCAAAAACGCATGCACGAAATGCTTTCATTCGACTTATTTCAGCCAGTGCATGCACGGGCTTTTCCACGAGTAGTGATATATTGCTGGAATATTATGTATTTTCTATGTGCGTCAAATCCCTAATTGTTTTTCTCTTCAATCTCAAATATCAAGCCAATTCTAGTTCCGTCATTTTGGTCAGACTGGCTAGTCGTACAGATTTTTTGCAAGTGAAGAAACCGCAACACCTTTCAGGAAGAAAAAGACGTGGATTCTCTTCACACTCTTCATAAAGACTCTTCAGTGCAGTTAAAACAGCACCGAAGATTCATGACGCAAGGATCATTCGAATACCAATTGACCTGAAAGTTTTCGTCGTTCAAAGGAAAGGCGCCGATCGGCTGCAAGGAACGAGCTCCTTCATCGTGTGTAAATAGTCATCGTCTGCAGGCAAAATGTTATTTGGTTGTAAGTAGGATCTCGTCCATATCCAACCTTGCCAGCAAACTTGCCAACACAGCCCGACGACACAGGTGTCAGAGTCCTACGCGATTATTGTTTCCGCATACGGCAGTATGATCTCTCCTATTCGATACGTTCAAGTTTTCAGGCCGATCATCGCATTCTGCTGCAGGAGAACGTAGAGGAAGGTGGTGAGATGCTCGATAGCTATTGCAATGAAAATAATGCTCCTGGATTTTATCACAATTCACCTTTTCCTTCTTATTTTCCTCCTCAGAATCGCGTGATGCTCCTTGCGTAATTCTGGAGGGGAAAATGGCACATTCGATAGGGGACTATTTTTATCCTTAGCCGTTTCTGTTGCCCCAAGTGAGAATCATATTTCCTTCTTATTTTCCTCCTCAGAATCGCGTGATGCTCCTTGCGTAATTCTGGAGGGGAAAATGGCACATTCGATAGGGGACTATTTTTATCCTTAGCCGTTTCTGTTGCCCCAAGTGAGAATCATGACATGTGTTGGGATGAATGAGGCTTGTTTATCTGTTTACAGGGGATCTCCCTATGTCCCCCCCCCGCAATAAATTCAAACGAGATTGTCTTCCACGTCCATCATGTTGGAACGATAGAATTCCAGGGCATTCGCCAAATACTCCCTGACTCGATTCAAATTTTTAATCTGAAATGTAAAATTTTTCTAGCTTGCACTCCTTCGTATCCAGCGAGACGGCTGGATAAACCATTCGAGGAGGCACCATCCGAAGAATTTGTTGGAAGAAGAGTTGGCTTCCTTTTTTTCAATTCTGCGCTGGACGCAAAGATACAAAAATTTGCGGATTCTTTCGGGAATATTGGATCTTCCATGGTTGTTGCTTCATGAAATCTTATTTTTTCTTATTTAGTTGTGGGGTGATCATCGGGTCCTGTCAAAGATAGGATCATCCTTTTCCGTTATAGCGTTTAAGTTAGGTTTATGGCAACTTTTCCATCCGAAAGCCGGATGATTTTTTTCAGCGCATCGTGGCGACGTTTCCTTCTTCCTTCGCTTTGCACCGCAGCAGGGTTGCGAGGTCGTGAACTATTTCGGTGAATTATCTTCAAAACTTCAAAGTGCAGCGAACACTGTGCTAAATAATTAGAGCCACCTGAACACTAGTGCCATGATATTAACCATTATATGCTCACTCAGGTTTCATTGGTTCTTAGGAAGCAGCAATACAGGCTTATTGTATCATGCAAACTACGAATTGGTATATAGGGTGTCCCAGAATTGATTGGAAACAGGTCTTTCCACCTAGCCTATGGCCAGAGAGGCACGGACTCGTAGACCTCGTGCTATAAGCTAAGATAACAGAGGCCTACGTCAGCGCTGCCTGGATACGAAACTTCCAATGTTCAGTCAATTCTGGGACACCCTGCAGCTATTGCGGGAAGCCAGAATAAAAAAAATAGCATACCGACCTTAGTAGGCACTGCCTCTCCACGGCCTTTCATGCCACTGAGGATTCTCCGTCCCTTGCAAAACATCTGTCGTGACTTTTTGAGAAATAAAAGTTTCTTTATCTCGTTAATAGTCCTGGAAGACGCGATAGACTCGAAGCCCTCTATCTTTCAAGTGTCTTTGTCGCGTGGAGACGGATGCAGAGTAAATGAGGTAGGACGCCAGATGCGGCATTTTACGAGTTCTGCCCGCAAAATTGTCTGCGCTATCGAGGGCAGACGCTAGCTTCCTCTGATCGATTCGTTCGCGGCGAGGCTGGAAGAAAACTAGCAGTTTTATTCAGTGATTGACGCCTCGATCTGGATTGAAGGCTGCACATGCGCACCGAATGTAGTTCTTCGGTTACCTAAGGGAACTGCGGACAGATGGAATGAAAAAGAAGAAGAAAAAAAGAAAGAGACAAACCGACCGCAATATCTGACATTTTCCCATAGCACCTATGATAGGATTGGCGGATTAAGGAGAAGCACAGAAGGACTCAATATGTCGTATTTTTAAAGGTCGCTCTGGGATTGTCAGATAAAGATCATGAAGTTCCAGTTTAACACCTCAATATGAAAGGGGCTTGTTCAGAAAATCCCTGGACATTCCATTAAAACAATATTCAGGTGAGAAGGCTCTCACGCAGTTCTAAAAGAAGGAGGCACTGAAGTGACGAATCAATTCAGGGAAAGGCGAAATCGTTTCTCGCCGGGCGTCACTCGCTGTTTCCACTTATTCAGAAAATACAAACCTTCCCTTGCTGGAAATGAAATAAGATTTTCAGATTTGAATAACTTCATCATACGATTGAGTTCTTCACTTTTCCTACCGCAGCATGGCATGTATTCTTAGCGTGCGGGATGAATAGAAGTATCAACCGCGGGAAGGTGTGCTTCGGAATGGAATGCTTTAAAATGAATGGATCTAAGTGTTTACCTTCCGTGTGAGGGAAAGTTTCAAGTTTAAAATTTCGAGAAGTTTCAGATGTTCAGGTCTCTTCTAATTTCATTCTGAGGAATGGGGGCCAAAGCTTTGCATTAAAAAAAAAAACACCTTTTCCCTCACAACACATCTGATGAAAATCCAAGAAAAAAAAATTTTGACGTTCAGCTCACACCACATTGCATGGTTCTGGTGGGAATATGACCATTTGCGAAAGTATTTCGGGATGGGGCAGTGCCAACGTCATCTAGGTTCTCTATAAAAGACCCAACTCGAGGACTCGTCGATTCAGATTGCTCCAAGGAACCAGGTCGCTCTTGAGGTCGCAATGCTTCGACTCCTGCTCTGCCTCGCCGCCTTCCTCCCGGCCATCTTGGCCCAAGGTACTCTCATCAATAATTTTTGGCACTTTTGGTACTGGTACGAATGGTACTTCATAACGGAGGTTGGCGGTTAGAGTGAGATCATGAGGGATTGCAGTCACCAAGGGAAATATGATGGGCGCTAACCATTCGTAAAATACAAATCCGACAAAGTAACCGGTTACTTGTGGCTGTGTGTTTTAGGAGGATCGCTGGACACCTTCGATGATGTGCTCGCGGCGGTGCGGGCTGGCCATAGTATCACTGGCAATTTCGACTCCAGCTTGTGTGAAGAGTCTTCCGTTGAGGAACCTACCGTGAGTCATATATGACACCGTATATCTTTGAATCTCTTTTCGGCACGATGTCAACATTTGGAAGGAAAGGTACATCTAGCAGGAATCCGCTTCATTCGAAATAACCTTTCCCCCTTAAAATGTTGGAAACATTAGCTTAAACTTTTCAAATGCTTTCAATTTGAAGTCCGTCAGGATGCATTGCAAAAGTGAAACTTCAATTCTGCCAGGAATTGCAACATTGGCTTCATTACAGTGGACTCGCAATGAGTCAACATAATCTCCAATGTAAACTATCGTTATCTGCTGCCATACCAATAGCATTGGAACTAACGAGCCCTCCGGTCTTGTGTTAATTTATTTTGGGTAAGTGTCCTTGGAATTGAAACACTAGTTGCACCAGTGCCCTTATGCCATGTAACGCATTAAGGCTTTGGCGTGACTTGTGGAGTAATTATGGATGGTATGGGGAAGGAGGACCCATGATTTTCTACCTCTACAGCCTCCCTTTCCCTGGAACAACCTTCCCGAAACTTTCCCTGCACACTATTACAATTCTCGACATTTTCCGTTTCGATTTCAGAAAGTTCCCACACGGACGTATAAACCCTAATTTCCTATCATACTCTAAAAAAAATGCATTTCTCATATAGGAAGTGCTAGTCCCTAGCTACTGGCGCAATCTCATTTGCCTTCCTTTTTTAATATTACGGCGAAGAATCCTGTATCCAGCATACGACCATTGTGAGAACGATCTTCTCTTTCGAGTCGGAAAAGTCGTACTAATGTACAGTATAATGTACAGTATATATCCTCCTGATAATGCGGACCTTCTCATGTCGACACCTGAAAGACGCATTCGAACTGAAACGTAGAGGACTCTAACTTAGCCCCTATATTTTAACAGTCATGAGTTCCTGATATGGTAGAATCTGATATTTATTTCGCAAAGTGATAAGATTTTCACGCTAATTGCCTTGTCAGATACGGGATGAATTAAAAACAATAGTTGCTTCTTCTGCTATTTGGTAATGATCAGCTCTCAGAAAGTGCACCACCTGCTTAACAGAATGATCGAAATTCAACTTCATCGTAATCCGATGAAGTACAGATCGCAAATCATTTTCATTGTCAGGATTGGAAGAAGAAAGGAAATTCCATAGCAATAGGGGCCATTGGAATGTTTCATATGTACCAGGGCTGGTACTCTAGGGATTGATTGCAGACGTTTTTATTTTGCTTTCATAGTTTAGGAGAAAGCAAAGATTGCTTATTTGCCTCCTCTTAAAGCAGAATATTTTAATGAGGGAAATGTGACACGGTTAAAGTTAACCATATGATAAATCTGAAGAAGAATGGAACGTCCTTAGGTCTGTTTATTTCTTTGGTATTGTGCTCTGGAGTTAATGCACTACATCAGTAAGTGCGATGTGAATTAAATGAATTTCATGGCATACCTGGAAACATCATCCTCCTGATGCCTGACGTTGTTTTTCCGCATTATATGTCCAAGAAAAATGAGAATCATGGGATCACCCTTTGCGAGGGATATGTTGACTGGCGGATGGATTCGGAAAATCTTGATATTTTGTTGAGGGAGTCCTTTGGATTTATTGAGAACAATTTTTCCTCGACAAAGCATGAGTCCTAGTTTGTTTTCAATTTTTTAAACTAAAGGGAATGTCCATATGTTAGTTGAAAACCTCGAGGATCGAAGACATGGCTTAACATTTGCCCCCTCATTCCCTTACAATTTTAAAAGTCTTCCCTAAGGAGACTCTCAGGAGATTTGAACGTATTTCAATGGAATACATTCTGATTCATATTTCTTATAGCACCCTAGATATGTATAATTGAAATATTTTGCAATATAGATAACTACGTTCAAGGACAATTTTTTCATAAACGTCTTCAAGTTTAAAAGCATCACGTACATTTTCCTTTGGTTACGACATCGACATTAAAGACCTTTCATGTTCGGGGATATTTGCTTTTGTTTTTGCGAGGACATTTCCAATCATAATACTAACATTAACACTCCTTATGTTCAGATATAAAACGGTAGTAGACTCTCTAGCAAGTGAACCGCATGTAGAAATCGGTCTCCTAAGAACGTTCCCAAGAGATGAAAAATGATTACGAAATTTAACAAAATTAATAAATATGAGACTTTCAAAGAGACATATGATTGGCTATTTTCGTACAAAGATCAGGAATCGATAATTAATCGTCAAACTTATTGTACTGAAATATATACTTAAGCCTAGATTGGATACATGCATCAGGGCATTTGGTACAGACTACCACTTAGATATGCAGCCATAGCACCTGACAGGAGAAACAATTCTGGATTGGGTTTGTTCAGTCAGACTTGCGGACTCATCCCCGCGATGAAGTAGGTCGCGTGACAATTTTGATAGAATGGGATCGTTCACTGTCCTTTCTCTTTTTAGCTTCCTTAAACGTTGCCCCTTTTCTGCAAGCTATTTGCAATAATTTGGATTTCCTATTTTGGTCTTTCTGCAGTGTTTCTGAGTTTAGATGCAGGGAATTGCCTACTGCCCATGGGTGTTTTCAATCAAAATTGGCATCGAAAAGTAACTTCTTTTACTCTATATGCTGTTTTCATCCTTTTGATTCTTAAAATGCTTTAAAGCAATCCCACTCTCGTTCTTCGAGCTGAGGCAATCGAATTTATCACCTGAATAGTCACGACTTCTTTAGGAGTAAATGTAGGGCTTTTTTACTTTGCCCTGGTACTGCTTCACTTGGTCATAAGTGCTAGGCTGAAAAAAATATAATTCATTCATCCTGATATTTATTTTTTGGGGGCAGTTGGCGTCTTTGCATTTCGACATGTGGGAATACACGGAAGTAGAACTGGTGATTCCTGCAGTCTCAGCAATCCAGAGCTTCATGACCCGTAAGTTGAACATCATATTGTCACTTGAGACGTGAAGAGATACCTCCTTTAGTGCGTCGACCCTACGAAGCTATATAATCGACTACCTCGCAAGTAAAACCGGAAGAGCAAGCACCTACGCCTACCTTTGCGGCCCAAGCTACGGATGGTCCACCCAACAGAAACCGGCCTCATACAGGCCAACTTTTATGCGTTTTGTACACTTGGCACAGGAGCCACCTTTGTCGAGGGCAGCCATCAACCGGAGTGAGTTAATTTGATTGCCAAACATGGGAGTTGTTTTGTCGAGGCGGGTCATCAACTATTTGTATTTACTCCACTCCCACTTTCTGATTCAAACGAATCCGCAATATTTGGTGCAGTCAACACCAATAGCGGAAATTCCACTTTAGGAAGGCAACCGCGTGGTTCTGATTGTGAAGGCAAATGTAAGAAAAAGAAAATATAGGAAATACGATCATGAGAATACACCTCTTACAGACATCAACTTTCTTCGAAGCTGTTATTGGATTTTGTAAGAGTTTGGGAAAGTAGATTGTCTCTTGTTTTGCCCTCATTTAAAAAAAATTTACCTCCTTCCTTCTTTTTCAAGCAAAGAGTTTCAATCATAAATAAAAGTAATTATGAGGAATAATGGTTAATTGGGAGAGATGAGCTTGGTCTAGGTTAAGCAGTTATCCCAATATCGAATCCCATTAATTTATTAAGGAAATCTCTTTATAGGAGATGTCGAAATTCTCTTCTCTCTTTTTAAGTACACCAGTGACATCGTACGATGATCTGATGACGGCATTGACGGAGGGACGTCAATTGATGATCACTGCAGTAGCAACTGACTGTGAACATTCTCTACCGCCCGAAGTCGTACTCGCTGAGGGTGGATCAAATTATTATCAGTACTACGTCGTCTCAGGTTCGTGTTGTCATATTATTGTCATATACCCACGTCATTCATCATGATGGCTGAAGGATTGTGACCGCTGCTTCAACTGTAGACGGGTCTGGAGGGGAGGTGCTCATATTGGAATGGCCAACCTTGTCCCTCAGCGAAAATGAGGGTGAGACGGTTTATATGGTGACCAGGGTCATCGTTTCTCAGAGTGGATCGACATTTATCACTGCCAATGCCTTCAATACGCTGACTTGGGTGGATGAATATCCTTATCCGGAAGGATTTCAGTGCAACCTCGGGGAAAACGTCAACATATATTATGCCTCAGGTACTCTACCATTACTTTGCGACTTTGTGTATCACTCCGCAAAGTGCATCCTTTTTATCTTGGAAACCATCAGGATTTTACTCATGAATTGTGAAGGATAAAAGAGCCGATGCTGTTTATATCGCATGTTGATTTAAGAGACGGGCATTCAAAGATAAGAAGCTGCAATCGGAGGAAACCTATGCTAGAGTGTTTGTTGTTGAATAATGTTTTCATATATTTGACATTGCGTGTGGATGTTTCCGACAATTTCTTTTATATTTGGAGAAGAAAATACCTTCTGGCACGTCTTGATGACGTTGATGTGATTGGGGCATGGAATTACAATACCCTATTACAGTACCCTATTACAGTACCTTAACCCATCTAAGGTTTCCAACGAGTCAATAGTTTATGGCGTTTAGCAACTGGCCAACGTGTGTACTTGCAGACGTGAAAATGTTTATTATTTTAGAGAAAAACAAAGATTTATATGAAGCACTCAAGACCTATCGATATGCTTTCATCACCTTAAAGTTCAAGTAAGTCACGTCTATGTAAGTATTTATGAGGGAGGATTTAATATCAGAAGTTTATCAATATCTGATATTATAAATCTTAAATGTTTATATTTAGCAGTAGGATTGTGAAGTGTATGGTGACTTTATTTGTTCAATCTCATTCATAGTTGTGGCACCTATAACAAATGAAATCATTACTATTAAAAAAAAATGGTGTCCCACTTACCCCAGGCATACATACTTTCCACTGCCTGACTTCAGTAACATACATTTGAACATTTAACAGTCAATCGTGCGTGTATCAGTGACGGTAGTGAGTTCTAGTTAAGCTGTGAGTAGAGTAATCCACAGTTTCTCTTCAGTATTCTTTCTATTGCTTCTCATTCGCCATCGTCCATCCTGGATTTTCAAAAGTAACTACATACACTGAAGGTTTTAACCGTGCCTCTGACGAGGACCCTTCAACTCTTAGAGTCTAACGTCTCCTGTCACTCTTCTTCCTTCTTTAATAAATCACCTTGGATTCATAGTTTGACTCGTCGATCTTAATGGCAATTTAATTCTTGATTATCTCAGTTCCCATGGCATCTGGAAGCCCTCGTGAGAGGGGGGCAGGGTTTTATTAACTACTTCTCTATGCTATCCTTGCGTGGCATACTACGACGAAAATGGGATTGGTGGTTGTCTAGGCAAAATTCTATGAAGCCTTGCTGTAAATGCACTCCCCTTTCACGAAAAAGGGAAATCACAGAAATCAGAGCGGTAGTTGGAGACAACTCAACTCAACAACTCTGTACTGTTACTGTACTGTTAAAGCTAAAGCTTTCATTAATTACCGGTCTGTCACATGGAAGGCCTGCCCTATCACTAGCAGCCACTGGATAGAAAGCTTCATCGTCAGGAAATGGAAATGTCCCAGCTAGTATCCGTTAACCGAGATAGAAGGAGAGCAAGGCTCACTATTTTACCTGTTTGCTTCGGTTGAGGAGGAGGGCGTTCAAATACGATTCAGTCATTTTTGTCCCACTGCATGCCTAATGCCCAATGATGGATGACGAATCAATCTTCGGTTTTGCATTTTGTAGATGACGCAATCGAAACGTTTGGATCTTACGCTGAAGTGGAGGCTGCCTTCATGGAGGGGAAGGATCTTCAGGCCACGGTGGATGTCACCTCGTGCACCGGCACTTTTCCAGAAGGAGTCCTGGTAATTCCCCGTTCAAGCATTTTTTATAAGTTCACCTGAAGGCACTAATTACTTCACCCTAATTGAGTCTATCTTCGAGTCCTGTCTGACATATTTTCCTGTCATCTGGGAACAAAGACTTGATACGTTGCCTACATTTACCAAATATTTCCGCAGTGGAAAACATAGAATGCATTTAATTGAGCCTAATGGGTAAAAAGGCAATACTTGTTCCAGATAGGGTACTAGATTACTCTTTGAACCCCCAGAATGTAAAAAAAAAATAATTAGATGTATATCACACCGAGAAACTTTTGTGGACTCTCTTGCCCGCTTAAATGTTCTATTCGCGGACATTTCTTCTTATATTTATCCATATTTCAGGGAATGATTGATTGCCACAGTGCCCTAGATACTGTTCAATAAAATCCTTCATGAACCCTGAGATTGGAATATTCCCTTTCCATGTTCAGGCTGCTGGAGCCAAGGTGCTCGCATGGGTTGATGAAGAGGAGGGAGATATGGCTGGAATTCACTTCTCACAATCCATTGCTAACCGTGAGTGAAATTCTTTTCACGACATAAGTACAACTTCTTTTGTTACTTTCGCCTTTTCTCCTCACTCCTCGGCCACATTTTTCATAGTCGCTGGGGATGTAGTCATACAAGAGTTCCTCTTGGGCGAGGACGGTACGCTGCAGATTGTGGCCACTGCGTTCAATCCAGTCGATCCAGGAGACGTCCCAGATGTAGACGCGTTTGCATGTGACATCGGTGTAGGGGTCACCTTCACTGCTCCTGCCTATAATCGGTGAGTCTTGCAAAGTCTCGTCATCTGAGGATGATGACGTGTGCTGCAGTACATGGCCGCAAACCGTACTTGCAGCGTGGAGTTGACGAGCTACGCATCGGTGGTGGATGGCCAACTGAGTGGATCGAAACTCTCGGCCCAGATCGACTTCAGTCAATGCGTGGATCCAACTGGCCAACTCGACCTCTCCGGTCTCTCGGCGGGCGCATACTTCCAAGATGTTACAGTACTTGGCATTGGCAGTGAGTTTCCTCTTCTTTCTTGGTATTCCATTTGTTTTCCATTATTATAATTGTGCTAATACATATGTAAAAGAAATAGCGCTCTCTTTTATTTAGTGTATGGTGGGTTCTAAGCCATAGGTGATTATTAACATTGACATTTGCAGCGCAAGTCTAACAGTAAGAGCCTCTTAGGTCCCACATCCACGTGATGAATCTCTCCATACGGCATTTTCTTTTAAATTATTCATATTGGAGTTAAAAACGTTTCGACTGAAACTTGCAGTTGAACTCTCCAAATATATCCATCTATGAAAGACCCACAAAGGCAGGCATCACAGGTATTACAGATAACTTTTGGATCTGAATATTTCGACAGGCCTCGGCATTGATACGTCAAGGAAAATGTACACTGTAATTTCCTTCATCCTTTCTTTTTTTCAGCTCCCGAAGAGAGGATCTTTGGATCCGCATTCGGTGCACACAGTGATCCCATCAGCGGCGTTGCTTACGAAACCTTCGGAGCGACTATTGATACAAGCAACAATGTCCTCGTTTACCCAGGCTACTGGCGGTTTAATGAGAATGGTGAATGGGGCAACGACTTTGGCGACGCTGTTTTGGAATGCACCCTCGGTGAAGGTCTTAAGATCTTCGGGGAGGCATGAGAGGCAAATAAAATCTGATTAATTGATTACTGTATCCATCCATCACAACAGTTTCGAGCCTTTGAGTATAACATTACTGCATCCAAGCTGGATGGAAATAGAAGCTTTATGGCCTTGACTATATACTAGATATTGCCATAAATCCATGCTATTCAACTTTTCAAAGGTCCATGATAACTTTTTTTTTCCTCCTTACATGTTTGATTTTTTTTTAAAGACTACTCTTACATTCTTTGATGTGGTAAGAAATTGATTATGTATAGTGAGAATGTCGCATTCCAATTTTCTCTGTTGGTACAATCAAATAGCTGCCAGTCGGTGGATAGGTGAGTAGGGAGGGAACCATCGAATGGCCGGTATCTATTCCAGAGTTCACCACACTTAGCTTATTTTTATGGAATTATTTGAAAGGAAAAGTACATGGTCAGTGAAACTAGTGGCAGTAAACCTGCTGTAAACAGGAAGAAACGAATCCCTTTATTGTCTTGGAACGAGTCACCATGTTCTTCAGAGTCGATCGCTGTCACATTAAAAAAAAACTCCACAAGTCTCACGTGACCTGTGAATAATCTTGGAACCTGATCATGTGAATAAAGCGTGGTTCCAACATAGGTGGATGTAGATAATTTTGTAAAATCCCAGATCCAAAACACTTGCGACACTTGCGCGCCAATGTCGTATGTCAAAGATCATTTGACCTGTCATTCCAAGTTGCGCCTCAGCTCGGCAATGGATCGTTGTGCCCCTGATGCCAAAAAAAGTTGATTAAACTCTCCACAACCGAAACGATGCAATGCGTCGTGCTATGGACTGATCAAGTCTGCATAGAAGCACGACACTGCAAAAAAAAAAATTAACAAAAACACGCTGCTCGAACATCTTTAAGAGGGTTTAGAAAAGCATAGTAAAGTATAGTACCACTCGGGTAGCAACGGGTTCCCTGTTGGTGACGAGAAACGTTGATGTTGATTTCAAAAACCTTTCCTTCTATAGTGTCAACGCATTTGTGAAAATTTCTTCATCTGGAACTCATCCTCTGACTTGTGTGCAGAGTAATTCGTAGTTCTCTCTCGATGCTCCATTTCGAATCAGCATGAGACAATCTCTGAACCTTTCCTGGTCATCTTCCCTTTGTCTCATGACTTCGTCAAGCACAAACGCCTTTTGAAAAGCAAAGTTAGATGCTCGTATCTATCTCTGTCGGAAAGGAAATCATTCTCGCCAGCAACTTTGAGCGGCGTGTCCGACACGGAAGTAAGCTGACCAAAGTCCCCCAAAAATGGATGTGGCACCGAAAATCGAGGACTTGACGCTTTGTGACGCTTAGTCAAGGCCAGGTGTTCTGCCAGTTTTTGCCAAGAAGGTCCAAAAGGGAGTAACCCCTGTTGCGTTACACCTTCTTTGAACATTTAATTCTCCACATACCTTTGTTACAGAGTTAGCCTTGGCTTGCTTCTGATGGTTTTCGAAGGCGGTATGACATCACAGTAGAATTAGCCTAAAGTTTATCGATGGAAATCCGGACTTTACTTGTGGCATGGAGAAAACCTAAATAGGCATATTCCTGACGTGGCATGTGCACAGCGCTCACAGGTTGACGTTTACAGGCTTTTTAGACTTGATATAGAATGGCCAGATATACTGCAATCATAATTCCTAAAACACGGGCGAGCCATAAATGACTTTCTAACGTTTCTTTTGGAGGCTATTATATTCCATAAATTTGTCTCGGTCAACAGGGAGTTGCAGGTCGACGTTGGCGCGCCACGT